CACAGACACAAACACACATGTGCAGAGACACAGACACAGACACAGACACACAGACACAGACGCAGACACACAGACACACGTGCAGACACACACACACACGTGCAGACACACACACACACGTGCAGACACACACACACACGTGCAGACACACACACACACGTGCAGACACACACACACACGTGCAGACACACACACACACGTGCAGACACACACACACACGTGCAGACACACACACACACGTGCAGACACACACACACACGTGCAGACACACACACACACGTGCAGACACACACACACACGTGCAGACACACACACACACGTGCAGACACACACACACACGTGCAGACACACACACACACGTGCAGACACACACACACACGTGCAGACACACACACACACGTGCAGACACACACACACACGTGCAGACACACAGACACAGACAGACAGACACACACACACACACAGACACACACAGACAGACACACACGTGTGTTCACTAGCAGTGCTGGTGGTAATGCATTACAAGTAATCAGATTACTTTAACTAGTACAGTAATGCATTACTTTTTAATTTAGAAGGAAATATCAGAGTTAGCTTATTTTCTATGACAGCTCTGGTGTTGCCACGGTGACAGAAATCAGGAGTAAGTGCAGAGCGTTGTGTGTGAACATGATCTTACTGTAACTCTAGACTAAATATCAACATGTGTTTACTCATCTCACTGCACACAAACACATTCAGTGCTCCTCACAATCAATAAATGCAAACTCGGAATATTATACAAACCTGCAATAATTAAATATGTTAGATATGACAAATATCAATATATTTAATCCAATTTTATGAACCAGTGTCTTTGCTGCTGACCTTCGATGATCCACTTCAATTCCATTTGTAAAAAAATGTTTTTATATTAAAAAATAACTAGCAAGCCCCACCCAGATTTCAAAAGTAACGTAACGCATTGCTTTCCATTAAAAGCAATTAAGTAACGTAATAACTTTTTTTAGGGAGTAAAGCAATATTGTAATGCATGACTTTTAAAAGTAACTTTCCCCAACACTGCTGAGTGAGTGAGTGTGAGTGTGTGTTTGAGTGTGTGAGTGAGTGTGTAAGTGAGTGAGTGTGTGAGTGAGTGAGTGTGAGTGTGTGTTTGAGTGTGTGAGTGAGTGTGTAAGTGAGTGAGTGTGTGAGTGAGTGAGTGTGAGTGTGTGTTTGAGTGTGTGAGTGAGTGTGTAAGTGAGTGAGTGTGTGAGTGAGTGAGTGTGTGAGTGTGTGAGTGAGTG